CCGAGGAGCCGGCCCCGCCCCGGGGAGCGGTTGTTCTTGTGTCCAGGGGCCCTCGCCGCCACGGCAGTGACCTCGGGGTGGTGTGGGGGGTCTCTCCAGGGCTGCTGCCACGCAGCGGGGGCGGCACCTTTCCCCCAAAGGAAGGGGGCACCTGGCCAGTGAGGAGTGGGTCAGCGAGGCCCCGGCGCCGGCCCGCCTCTCCGGAAGCTCGGCGCACAGCGCGCCGAGACCAGGGCCAACCGGTGCCTCTGTTCAATTTCAGGCAGCTCTAACCCTCTGTGCACAGTTCGGCTGAACGAGCCCGAGCAGAAGTTCTCCAGCGCCCTCCTGAGAGACACGGCCGACCTCATTTGGGACGAGGAGTTCAGCTTGTGTGTGCAGCCCCTGGGCGTGGGGCCCAAGGCCACCCTTGTTGAGGGCCACCTCCTTCAGGGCTCTGCATAGCACCTTTCGTGACCCCCAAATTAAAACAAAATCAGATCTTCCTTGAAGGCGCGCTAAGCCGCTAGGCAGCTCGTAGGACACATGGATCATTTCTGAGGCAGCCATGAATGTCCTCTCCCTCCCTCCCCACGCCCCTGTGCCGGGACAGCCCCGTGTCAGGGCTCCTGGCTGCCTCAGAAACACCCATGTTCCAGAGCAGGACGAGGAAAAGCCTCTGGTGCCCAGATCTGCCTTGAGAACAGACAGGGGAAAGCTGGTAATTAGGCCATTGGTAATTAGCGATAGGCGGATTCTGGATAAAATATTATCAAACGGCATCTGGCAGCACATTACAAATGGCAGAGATGGGCGCGTCATGCTGGTTCAGTGGTGAGATCTTAGTGAAAAGATCAGAGGAGGAAATACACTTCCTACCTCTGGCTATGGCAGTAGCTATTCCACAAGCTTTAATATCCGTTCCTAATTTTATAGGTCTTAATTAGAGTAAGATTTATGGCCGCTTCTCTACTTTGATAATCACTGTAGATGCTAAAGACCAAAGCAGTACCGTCGGGGTCCGGGAGAGGACACCCGCCGTTTTTGTAGAAATGGCGGTTCGCGTGATGAGGCAAGAAAAAGAAATGATGGACTGGAACAACACAGGGAAAGAAGAGAGAAGGTGATTCATGACTTGAAGATACGTCGCGTACCTAGACTGCTCAGGAAATGCAAAACTACTCACAATCATGGAAAAGGACAGGAGTAAATTGGAAACTTACCGTCTCAGTACCGTGACGGACTCCAAAAATGCAGTAACGGATTACTTGCGGACACAGAAATAATTAGCCAAAGTAATGGAAGCAAAGCCCGTGGTCAGCTGAAGAACTCCGTTGACCATGAATGGAAATGTAGACACGTCCTTAGGAAACGGGGTGACTTTCCTGACGAGAACTCCAAGGGCAAGCACACAGGCAGCCAGGAGCTGCTGGAAGATGTGCGACGCTCAAGTCTCGAAGTAACGCAGAGAGCCACGGCCGAGTCGCGGAGCACGGGGGACACGTCAGACGAGACTGTTCTCCCGCTCGCGGTGGACAAAGAATGAGTCTGACGCCCGCCCTGGGGGCCATCACCAGCTACCAGAAAGAAAACCCCTCGGACGCTGTCCTTTCTCCTGCCAGTTCACCTGGCCAAGGAAATGCACGTCACACGAGCAGGTGCCGTGTGAAGCGTTTCTCTCCGCTCACGTGCCGTCATCACGTACTGAAAACAGCCACCCCCGTTACCCAGGCTGGCGTCGAGGCCCCGGAGACGGGCCCGGGACCAGGGCCTCGGCAGCCCGCTGGCCTGGGAAGGTGACTGTGGGCCACAGAAGGCGGCGTTATGGCCACAGTTTTTACTTTTGTGTACATTACGTGGCCGGACTTCCTGTATGGTCACACGTGGCTCTTTAAAACATGTCGCTTCGTTAAAATACCACACTGCCCGGCCGGCACCGGAGCCGGCGCCCGCTCCTGGCCAGCACCCCGCCCGGGGTCCGCGCTCGTCCGGGACCCGCGTCTGCAGGTGGCAGCCATGCTGGTTCTGCAGCGCGGCTGCCAGGGGTCTTGTAGGGCCGGTCATGGGTTTCCGTAGTGGACGCGGAGGGTGGCCGGGTCCTCGCTGTGACCGGGAGAAAGTGCTGTTCTGAAAGAGACCGAAGCCTCGAGGCCTCACAGCTCTTCTTTCCGCAGCGATCTGAACGCCAAGTCCAAGGAGCTGAGACTGCAGGTCGCAGCGGCTGGGGGCGCCTCGGAAGGTGGGTGGACGAAGGCGGACGAAGGCCCCGCTGCAGGGAGGGGCCCGGCGCCTCCACCAGGCCTGGGGGCACGTGGGGCTGGGCTCCCCCCACCTCCCTGCTCTCAGGGAGCGCCGGCTGGTGACCCTTCTGGCTGGTGACCGGCGCGAACGTCCCAGCTGCTTCCGTTCGGGCACCAGCGTGCCCACGGGCTCTCTGGCCAGCCGTCTGCCAGCCCTACCCAGCTGGCTTGGGTTGGTTTGCTCTTTCGGCAGACTTCCAGGATCTCTCATTTAACCATTTTTGGCTCAGCGGGGGCAGCTCTCGGGCCTCCCAGCCTCAACAGTCCTTTTCTTTTTAACACACAAATGTGTCCTCGCTACCAGTGGGCGGCCGGGCCCCGAGCTGCGCCCAGCACCTCCAGAGCGTCCCCTCTGGCGAGCCTGGGTCTCTTACCCACTGGCCGCGGGGTCCGGCCCCCTCTCTGCCCCCTCTCGGAGGTCCCCAGAACTGCTTTCGCTGGACACGGCTTTCCATGCAAGAGAGCGCCAGTTCGAGGTTCCCTAGGGTGAACAGGGGCACCGGTGTGTGATCAGCAGTCGCAGTGCTTATGGCCTGGAAAAGTCTGCGGACCCCACCGGGCAGGGCCGGGCCTGGCCCAGCTGTGGAGGCCACGGGGCCTACCTCAAGCCACAGGGCCAGAGCGCTCCAGGGTGGCGAGCAGTTGGGGGGGAGGGGGGCGCTTCCCTGGACTCTGGTCTGGGGGTGACCACGGGCCCCCCGTAACAATTGCTTGGGGACCGCTGCTTGTCCCGAGAGGGGAGTCCTCACCAGCCTGGGCGCACCCCTGCCCCCACCTCGGTGTCACCCCAGGCCAAGCCGGCGGGTCTGTGGAATTCCAGGTGTACAAGCAGAGACCAGCCCAGCGGGGAACCCGCACCCCGACTCCCGGCTCGGCCTGCGCCTTTATTGCCCGGGCTCACGCGAGGCTGTTCCCCACGCGCCCAGCCCCAGAGGGGCTCCCCCTGTCTGAGGGAGGTTGCACGCCTCCGCCCGGCTCGGTGCCGCCCCTGCGCCCGTCGGCGCCCGCGGAGAGTGGGGCCGGTGTTGCCGGGATCTGCAGTCCCCGCCTCCCGGCCGGGCCCTGCGCCACCTTCCGCGGTCTCGAACCGCCCCGGGGACAGGCTCAGCGCCCGGGAGCACAGCGGGGTCCGCCCACCGCGGCCGTGGGCACCTGATGGGCCTCGCTTGCCTTTCAGCGCTGCTGGCGACGGCGACCGTCCCTCTGGACTTGTTTCGGAAGCAGCCGGCGGGGCGGCAGAGCTTCACGCTGACCAGCGGGGCCTCGCTGGACCGCTCGGTGTTGGGCTGGGTCTCCGCGGAGGTAGGCGGGCGTGCGCGACGGGCTTCCCGCGGGTCTGGGGGAGCCTCGCCCTCTCTGGGCCCCACTGGGGCGCACGCCACGGCTGCCTGTGACGTGGCCTCGGGCCCGCACGGCCTCGCTGGGCGGTAGCGTTGTCCCGCTGGGTCTCCCCAGCGCCCTCCATCACGCGTGGGTGTCATCAGGGGAAACTGGGGTTCATCATCACTGAGTGCCACCGGCCGGTGGACGTGAGCTGAGGAGGACATCGAGGCTCCGGTCAGACACACGATCTCCTTCTCGGCAGTTTTCTTACACAGAACCCGGTGAGGCCAAGTCCCGGCAAACCCCCCCGCCTGTGCCTGCCACAAAGATAGAAAAGGACCGCACCGTGATGCCCTGTGGCACCGTGGTCACCACCGTGACGGCCGTGAAGACCAAGCCCCGCTTCGACGCCGGGAGGGCATCCCCGCTGGGCTCGGGTGAGTGCGGCTGGCGCCGGGCCCGGGGCGTCGGGCTCCCGAGGACACGCAGGCGGCCGGGCCGCGGGTCAGGGCCCAGTGCCCTGTTAGACAGACCGGCCAGTGGATGCCGCCAAGTAGACACCGGGGAGCCGGGCGGTCCGGTGTGTGCTCTGAAGCCCGAGTCCAGGCCTTGGCTGGGCTGGCAGTGAGGCGACCTCCCCAGTGTGCCCGGGGCTGCAGGCTCTCCGGAGAATAGCGCCTCCTCGTCAGAGGCCCTTGGGAGCGCCGTGTGGTCCTGGATTCGGTCCCGCGCCGTGAGAGCGGTGACGCCTGGCTCTGTGAAGGCGCCCTGTGTGTCTGCCCGCTCAGAATGGCCCGGGTGCGAGAGACGGGAGGTTCTGGCTGCACTGAAATGTCTCTGAAACTGTATGAGACCCGAGCCCCCGGGGAAGAGGGCAGGACAGTCTGCCGGGCCTCGGGCGCTGGGCCAGGCTGGTGGGCTCACGCGGGGGCGTGGACCCGGCGGGGGCCTGGACCCGGCTGGGGCCTCACGACCGCGGCTTCTGCTGCAGAGTCTCCCCTGAGGACGCCCGTCAAGGTGCAGGTGATCGAGAAGGACATCTCGGTGCGCGCTGTCGCCTGCCGCGGCGCCCCGGTCAGCAAGACGCTGTCCTCTTCCGATACAGGTAATGCCCACCGGAGCCCGGCAGCTCTCCCCGCCCCCAGCCAGCC